GCCTTCCGCCTCTCACACGCCTCCCCACACGTCGTCCCTGCGGGTTACAGTAATTAAATCTTGGCTCCGAACATTAATATTTCCGTGTATATCTCTGGTGATATTATCTCCATAGATAGCCGATTCATTGCTGCTCTACGGGCCAATTCATTCCTTTTCCGTCTCTGTTTTGAAAGATAATAGAACAGAAGAGCTTTTTTTCTTCGATCGCCTCCAGCCGCCATGCTTTCTTCACCTCAAGTTTAATTGATGAGCATGTGCACTTAATATTTCACAGGTAGCTTCTGCATGGCGAAAGGAGCCGAGATATAATGACTGTACCCCCGCAGGGACGAGGCGTGGGGAGGCGTATGAGAGCTGAAGAGACCACGCTCGGCTGTCACCTTGATTGGATAGTAAACGATTGTCGTAAAATCGCTAAATGATATTAAAACCGGGTTGATAAACTTGAAAACTACCTAGAACAACCTTAGACTGCCACATTAATCCAATACAATACAGTAATTAAATCTCGGCTCCGAACATTAATATTTCCGTGTATATCTCTGGTGATATTATCTCCGTAGATAGTCGATTCATTGCTGCTCTACGGGCCAAATTATTCCTTTTTCGTCTCTGTTTTCAAAGATAATAGAACAGAAGAGCTTTTTTCCTTCGATCGCCTTCAGCCGTCATGCTTTCTTCACCACGAGTTTAACTGATGAGCATGCGCACTTAATATTTCTCAGGTAGCTTCCGCATGGCGAACGGAGCCGAGATTTAATTACTGTACCCCGCAGGGACGACGTGTGGGGAGGCGGAGGGACTATTAAAAGATTAGGCGGTTTTTCTTTCATGTACGTCCGCCATTTTTAGGTCACTGGCTTTGTAAAGCCTGGCTTAATTCGTTGAGAATGCGCTCTTAGTCTTCATAAACACAAATGTTTACAAGAAGACATGGGGTGGCCTTATAAATACAGAGCTGACTACCCATCCAGAAATTGTCGATTTAATCTGGAAATTTGAAAGTTTGAGCAATCAATATGGAAAATATATTTTTTTAGTCCGGAAATCTTTAAAGAAAAAATTTGTTGGCCTATATTGATTTTGGCAAAGTCTGCTGAAAGAATCCAAAGCCCAGGCCGAAGATTACATCAAGCTTAACTGCACATATACAAACAGTTTTGTGTATTTTCTGAGTCTATGTACACATGCGCAGAACGTTTTGTGCATTTTTGCAACAATGACTACCTCCAAGTAAGCAAGTGCTTTGAATGCAGACAATAATAAACCAAATAAGCGTTCTGATTACAGGTGCAATTTTAGTATACTGTATGCTATGATGGAAAATCCTCTTGCTTGTGGTTAAGTCCTGTAATTCTGTTTTCAAAATCCTGAAGTGAAGATTTATAAATACAAATGGAACCCCCTAAAATATGGACGAAATAAATGTTGTTTTTTAGCAAAATGTAATGGATTTACATTTTATATGCATTCACCTTAAACATTCGCTATATATACTTTCAAATGAAAACCAAAAAGCAAATAAATTCCACTCATCCAGATTGTAAACACTGGCATGCTTTGTCAGTTTCACCTATTCAATTCAAAAAGTGTCCTTTTGCACATAAACAGATGCTTAATTGATTCTTGTAGTTGTCTATGGTTGAATATGGTATGTGGTTGTAGAGCAATAAAGAATGGAAGAAACCATTAAAATTAGTTTACATTTTTTCTTATATAGCATCACCTGCAGAGGTTCTTTCTCATCTGCACACAAGCAACAATGGCACACACAATCTATGCTAGAGAGGAAATATCTAAATTGATGAAGATTGGCACCATGTCAGTCATGGCCATGTCAGTTTTAAGGACACACTACAGATACAACCATTGCACAGTTATCTGGAAAGCCACTGACTGGTCTCTTTTATCATCATTGCACGTTTCAACTTACTTCGTGTGTACAAGTGCAGGGACAAGTTATTTATGTCCATTCTTCTTAATTAAAAAAACAACAACAATCCTCTGTTCTTGACTGCACATTGTTAGCACCAGTGCCACTTACAGCTTACAAGTTTGTGATTGAAGTCAAATAGTTATGTCCCTATCTTATATGAATGGATCCATAGAAACTGTGCTAACTTGACTCCCAGATCGATTCTTTGGAGCTTCCTCAGATTCAGAAGCTGTAAAAACATAGATATATATTTTTATTAAAGTGACAGTTATGCCATAAGACTAGCATATAGATTTAGAATGTGAAATTAATAGCCTTAGGCAAGCTTTTAGGTCATTTTAAACTATACAAAAATCATATATTTCTTCAGATAATGAATAATCTAACCTATCTTGTTAATGTCTGAGCCACACTGAGATCTTTCTGCAAGCTTGTTAGTATAAAATTAATGAAACACTTGATCTGTATAAAAATTTTAAAGATTAATTTCAATTTTGGGTAGTTCAGTCCTATCTAAACAGTAAGGTGGTTGTATTAAGGACCTACAGGTAGTGTACATTTGATTTTTGAAAGTAAATCAGTATGAATGGGAAAATAGAATCTAAATATTGAGAAACAAATTGAAAGTTACTGTTCAGTGATTTTATGGTCTTGTTTAGATAGTTACAACAATGGTAACAGTATCACAAATATAAGATGCCATTCAATGAAAAGATGCAGAGATCAGTCAAAAATGATCAAAACGTGACATGAATAAGGTACTGTAAGGTAATTGCTAATTTATTTGGAAAGGTCCTTTTTTGTGTATCTTTTCCATTGTAACCTTAATGAAATAGATTAATTATAACATGGAATCTTAATCATCAACAGTTGCCCACCATTTTTTTCCTTCCTGAAATGGCCTTTGTGAATGCATTCCCATGCTAGGATGACCAGCACAATAAACAGCCATAAAGCCCAACCAGCAATTAAGATGGTTAAGGTAGCACCTGTCTCCATCAGGGACTTGGCAACATCTGCAGACTTTCCTGACCAGTGCTGAAATTGAAATTCCATAATTATGATACAGTGTAGCCTTATCGTGACCTTCAGGATTAAGGCTAAATGTGAGGGTTAAAGTGAGCATTTAAAGTCTAATTATGTAATCGAGCCATACTGTCACACAGTAGCCATCAGCAGCACTGAACACCACTGTATGGTGTGAGAACAATGAAAACATCCCTTAGCAGAATGTCAGACTGGTTGCAATATTGCTGCAAACTTTTCATTTTGCTAAGGAGTGTGTCATAAGCATATAACAAAGAATATAACAAACATTAGCATATAACAAGATAACTATATTAGAAAGGTCTGATATATGTGAACATTCACACAGAAATTTTACCTTTTTCTTGCCTGGCTCATCTGTAGGATCAAACTTTTGCTGGTGTTGCCGGATATATTTAGAAAAGCACTTGGTTCTACTTCTGGGTACATTCCTTATGTAAAAGCCCAGCATAGCCTCTTGTGGGATCATCTTCACATACTGAAGATTCCCTCCGTGTAATTCGTGTAAAGCTGTGTGAAATTCTAGCATTATACCAGTGATGTTTGCGTTGTCATGTAGTTTCTTCATAAGACAAACAACATTGTCACACACTACATGAATTGAGAAAGGGAAGAATAATTAAATTATTGTTACGTTTAGAATTGAAGGCATACGACATAAATTACATCTAAATATATATATATATATATATATATATATATATATATATATTTGACAAGATCAAAAGATGCAAACTGTAATAGCGGCCTATTATATGGACATTTTCAGCTTCAGGAAAACTTTTGAATCCCTGATCCTTTGATGCGCAGTTCAGTGCACCAAACTGCAACACACTGAAGTATATCAATGTCTGTGTCTGGAGCCACATTCATAATAGATGCTAACTGGTTCGCAGATCAAGTATGGCCTTCCCCACTTGAAAGTGATGCCGCATAATTTGCTATTGGACTCCCTGCCTACCAGATGCACCAGGCCTGCAGGGGCCTAACAATAAATAACTAAATCTCTGCTACATGTACAAGGTTTTTATTGCTATTTCCCTGCAGGGCTGGTGTGTGGGGTAGGCAGGGAGACCATAAGGGGATTAGCAACATTGCTTTCAAGTGAGGTCTTACACATCTGTTCTAAATATTGCCTCACATTCTTCAACTTCATTTAACACACCTTTCCAAACTTCATTAATGTACATTTCTTAGCTGATCAGCTCATGTTGTGTCACAGTGCCATACAACGAGTAGAACTGTCGCTTCATTTTTGCAGTAATCAATTTGCAGTAATCATTTCTAGTGTACAGATCAAGTGTTTCATTAATAAAACTATAAAACTTTCAATAACTATGTAGTACCTGCATGCATTAATAAGTGCACAGGATATTTTCTCATAAAGGTTGACTGTACATTTGTCATTTTGGCTTGTTTTTTGTGAAGGGGGATGAATGGCTATGTTTTGGTGGAAAATTATGCGAAGATCTATCAAGTCAGAACAAAAAATGTGGATTAATAAGAGGGACATGTATTGTTGTTAAGAAGTCTGTGTGTGTATGCATTGCCAGCCATGTTATGCCTAAACCTACCTGTCACGGAGGCCCCAAGTCCCTCTGCTAACATGGCTGCTTCTGTTCCATCCAATACACCAACCTGAAATAGGCCAACAAATATTTAACTTTCAACAAAAATGCAAAAAGTGTAAATCATCAAAGCTTTATGATTCAACAGTATGTGTATAGTCTGTCAGAGTAAAAAATAAAAATCCACTGTATTGCCATCTTAAGATTTTTCAGGTCAATATGACTGTATAATTTTGTAAATATATATATATTTTTTAATTGAGAATTGAATATATCTCAAAATGTGCTGAAAAACAGTAATGTCTTACCATTGCCCCTTTTAAATCAATAGGGACATTGTTGGCAAGCTGGTCAGCTGACAGTGATGTAGTTAATGTAGCAGTAAAACATGTGACAAGAACAATGCCAGTCATGATCCAGATGGTACCAAAGAATTTAGCTAAGAGGGATTTAGGGACAACATCTCCATAGCTGCAAAATAAATATAAAACGAGCAACCTGCAGGATATAAAATGCATTTTTTTTACTTTGTTCCCCTTTAATGTAAAATAAAATGTTTTGAATTTTGATAATTGAGCCTCTTGATTGATTTAACTGTCATGTGTAAATCTCACTATCTTGCCAAGCTGTGACATACATGTACATGTACTTCAAGTGTCGGAATGTTTTGAACGTGTGGCCAGCTGTACAGCATTCTTGCTTTTACTCACCCTACTGTTGTCATGGTAACAAAGGCCCACCATATGCCTTCCACATATCCACTGCTGAATTTTTTGGGGAATTGTTCTGGATTCTTTAGCCTGTCCTTATATAATATATAAAAATAGAGGTAAATATTTATATGTGTCATAAGTGGTTTGTGTTGAGGGGTGTAACTAAGTTCAATCTAGTGGATTCAATATCACAATAAAGGGTATAGGAGGAGATAAGCTTGTGCTGGAAGTGTGTATGTCAAATGAAGTCGAATGGGGAAAGACTTGAAGCCTGGTCATTTTTAGCTGGAAGTACACAAGAGTGGAGCCTTGAATGTGAAGTTGAAGCAGATTTTTTGGCACCATGGTAAGATAATATTTTTCTTTTGGCACTTTGAGCTCAGAATACTTGTAGAAATATGGGATATATGATACGAAAATATGTAACGAAGCTTGAAGGTGCAAAATTGTGCTATTTTCAGTTATTTTGTTTTCTAATAACTTGCTGCATCGACCGATAGCACAACAAAAAAACATCATGAGAAAAAAATCCTGCGAGGCTGTAAATGCTGTCACATGTAATTTTTGCATGTATGCGAAGTGACATACCCGTATCTAATTATTGTTTGGTGTTTTATGGTAAGATCCCAACTAATAGTTAAATTGTACCAAACCATGATATATTTTTTTCAATATTGTGACAAATCTTTAGATAGTTAAAGATGCATACAAAGTCAATTTTTGTCACAAAAACCAAACAAATGCCAGCATATAGTTTCAAGTAGTATAACTAAGAGAATTACCAAAAGGCATTGTTTAATTTTACCCGAAAATGATGTTTGAACGGATTTTTCTGCTGGCTCTCTAAGCTGAATGTCAATGGGGCAGGAAAGTAGGTCACAAAAGTAGGTTAAATTTACAACCAAAAATTTAAAGAAAGGAGCAGTCTAAAGGTCTTTTATGGCTGATCGAGTGATCTATTCAGTTTATCCCTTGGCTTTTCGAATTTATTTGAGTCATATAAGAATCTAGTAGAAGTGGTTTACATGTGTTACTGGGAATTCACACTCCACCGATGCTCCGTTCGTATGTACCTTTAAAGGACAATGGCCATGCCGTCAGAATGGCCTGAACGGAACATATTCTTCAGAAAACATGCCCAACTAATGATATCTTTATCCAAATACACTGATTAAAAGGTCATTTTGTAAATTTTTGGCTTTAAAAGACGTCCTATTTGCTTGGCCTGGGAGTTAATGAGCTACGTGGTCACATGGTCCGATGATGACAATCGTGCTACCGGGGGAAGAGAGCGTGCTTAGCTGTCAAACTGAGTTGCATTGTCTACCTGTAACATGACTTTTCTGGCTTCTGATAAAAGCTCATACTCATTCAAATCTCTTACCCGAGGGGTCTAAATCCTTGTGAAGCTGTGTAAAACCATTTCCCGTCTATTCAATTCTTTAACAAGCATTTAATTATGGTTATCCCAAGTTGTATAAAACACTGCATTTGAATGACTTAGGGTACTGTTGATTATTGCATGTGATGTCCATGTTATTTATGAAATTCAATTTATTTAATTAAACCACTGACACCCGTCTTGCATACTTTTATTTAACTGAGGTAAACAATGCCTGTTACCTGTACAAGTCATATCTTAATCATCCATCTAACTGGAACTTCCTTTACCTCTTAATTAGAGGGTTAAATGGCATTCAATTCTCCTGTAGCCTTTGTCTTGCGAGTATCGAACGCACTCACGCTGGCGATATTTATCTCAGGTAAAAATCTACCTGTGCGTTAGTTTCAAAGAGCAGCTCCCGCAGACCTGGGGGTACTAGATAAAATCTGAACACCAGGTTTATCGAGGAGCTAGAGAAACAAAGGAAGAGTTTTTCCTGCACAGCTTCATAGGAATTTTAACATGGACTTGATCCAGCTTAAACCTCCAAACTAACAGGGTGACATGGGCAATTTTCACAAACAAATAATAAAACTATATTTCAGTTAGCCTCCTTTTAAATAAATATACGGTTCTGGGTAAATTAGAATATTTATTAAATCGCGAGAATATTTTTGACTTAAATGATGATTTTATTATTAATGGAAATTAAGCTGCTACTAGTATATGAGGTATATTTGCTGTGACTACGCTGTCCTTCATGTTTTGCGTTAGTCTACATTTTGCTGTACGTGCTTGTTATTTTTCAAAATCTGTACGTACAATTTTTGCAGGTCTGGTTACGCCCCTGTTATGTGATGAAAGTCTAAATTTGGCAATTAGTTCCTTAGCTTATTTAAATAGAATTGCAGTGTAAAATTTTCAACAAGATATTGGCGCAATAGCTCTTTACTCTTTGTGGATATTTCCCCCGTCAAAGTTTGTCTAAAATTATCTTTCAATCTTTACTCTTTCAAGGACAGTAAAATGTTATCTGACATATTTTCGTGAAAACTTAATGACAAGCCAAGTGTCTCCAGTTCATTCCGTACTCAATTTTACCCAAGCAAATTTATTTCTTGAGTAGATCTTTATAGCACGGTGTTATAATACAATTTTTCGAAGAGCTGATTTAAATCAATATTAAAAAAATTGTAGCTTCATACTTAAATGAATTGGGTATCTCCTGCTTTTCATAATATACTAAGTTATTAGTAGTGCTCTTTTTTACACCCAACATTCTTTTAAAAAATCCATTTGTGGCTTTCTTATATCCCTTACCAGGTTAAATCTCCATGCATAATTTAAACGTATGTAAAACTGCACATTTAGTAAACACATAAAATTAATGATTTCTTCCATGCTACTTGTAGCAAACAATGCTCCTTTACCTTGATCTGCTACATGTTTTTGAGTTTGACAATTCTTACAAATTTGCAAAAAGTTTTGCGTACAGACGCAGAATTTGCGTTTCAAGTTATAAAATGATAAATCTTTTAAATTATTTAATATTTCAGATGAAATAACCTTCAGAAACAAATCCTCAAAGCATAAACAAATTAGGATTATGAACCTTTTTATTACAGCAGTTCCCATTTTTTCTTTAAAATACCGCTCGTTTTCTTCCATGGAAGTAATGCCTGGGCATACGCATGCTTCAAGATACCCTGAGAGCAATTTCTTCTATTAATGTTCGCGACCGTGTTTGAACTTAATTGTTTAAATATTGATATTTAACGTCATTTACAAATACCAATAAAATAACCTCATGAAATAAATGAGATATATTGAAAAATATGAAAGCCCACCAAGACGAGTTTGATACCTGTTATTACCTGGCTTGGGAATTGCAGTGGTGCATAATTAACAGGTTTTATTGTTAACGAGCTCTTGGTCAACTGCAATGCATTTAAAATGCATCAGCAATTAGTAAGCTTGCCAGCTGATGACAGTTAATCTAAAAGACTATCAGCTTTTGATATGATCTAAAACACCTGAGGTGACCAAGATCTCGAGCATCGCAACTATTGTCACCGAAGTTAGTAAGTCACGGAAGACAGTCACAGACAAAGAAAGAATTGTCAAGGAGTGCTGCAATTTTGGTGAATCCCACGGCAACACACTGAGGCATAACGAAAATTGCTCAACTCCATTCAACACAACTTTCCTAAACTATTCTGTCTGTATGCACCATGCAGCTCAGTTAAGTCTCATAGACCTTTATCCTCATTGTCATCGCAGTACCACGTGACCCAGATCTGTTGCTTCATTTATGCATATTGAGGTGAGGTTTACTAAAACGCTTTTTTTCTACTAATAGATTGTTTTTATAATTCTTAAATGGCGGGGATCGATTAAAACATACCTCTAGCGTATAGATTGAGTGCTGAATCTTTAAAATTCAAGAAATGGATTTTTATGTGTCTATTGTCCTTTAAATATCAAGCTACCATATGAAAATCTGCTTCAACTTTGCACTCCACTAGTGTGTACTTCCAGTTAAAATGGCCAGGCAGCTTCACGTCTTACACCATTTGACATCCAATGATGCACATTTTCGGCACAATCTTATGTCCTCCTGTAACCCTTTATTAAAATTAGAATATATCTTAAGGATCAGATTGATCCAACTCTGCAATCAGATTAATAAATTTAACATTCCTCCTCTAGATTACTTGTTTAATCACCAGCTTTTTTTGCATTCTACTCACCACCTGGAGAAGGCATGTCAATGTCAATCTGTTAATCTTATTGCATTTAGCAATAGTCTCAGTGGATAGATCGTTGCATGAAAGTTTCATTGGGAATGAGCCCTTACACATCGATACTTAATTCATAATAATAGAAACAGTTTTTTATATTTATCTGCCAACTTTTGAAGTAAAACACTAGCAAACCACATGGTTAGTTTTATTAAAATGATAATGTACATATGTATTGCAAGATCTGCAATGCTTCCCCCCCCCCCCCACACCCACACAAAAACTAACACACATGCTTAATCCCTTCAACAATTTCACCACTCACTGCAATCCAAATAATGATCCCAGCAAAGCAAGCGGCCAGAAGGATAATGAGGGCTAATGGCCAGGCCTGGAATATTGCAGCACCTATGGGATTTATGTCTTCATCTTGTCTTCCTAAGTAGATGAAACCTAAAAAAAAGACAAGTCATTTAAGTATGCTAGTTGTAATGAATAAAAAAATGAAAACATTTCCTGTTTTTTTTTAAAGAAAAAAGAGTCTTACTTGCTATTTAGAATTTCTGAGTGTGTGTGTGTGTGTGTGTGTGTGTGTGTGTGTGGTTGAGGGGTGGGGGTAACCAATTATTGTTTTTGCAGATCTAATTATTGATTTTATTGGTGGATTTGCATGGAGAGAGAGCTAAAGGACAGAAAAAATCCTTAATTTTTAATGACAGGATGACTTTTCAAACAGGTTAATATACAGGGCCCGGTTGCACCAACAGGGCGTAAATTTACTTGGCTACGACTGTCGTAAACCGCAACGCCTGGCATCCGTGCGCCAGGTTTACTCTCCCTGCTTACGCCCGTTGCACCAAGACAAAAACTGATTGTCTTAACTATGCCTGAGTAATGCTCCATTGCGTCACTGGCCAACAATAAGTGGATGGTATAATTGGGCAAATGAGGAGTTCTCAGCTGCAGTCATAATGGAATGATGACATAAATAAACACAAAAGGAATATTTCAGTAACGGAGAAACTCATAAGCTACATTATTCCATTTTGATTTAGAAATAAGAACATTAAAATATGTTAACATTGCTGTGGCCTTGGATATATAGCAATAAAATGGTAAATATATTCCGAATCAAAGTATTATTATAGTATGCTACTATAGTATGCTGTTGTAAATGAGAAAAAACGCGATGGAGGCAGTATGTATTCCTATTAATATATTTGAACACCTTCACATTTGTTTCTGAAACGTTTTAGCCTGAAAATAATGCAAACATTGCACCTTTAATGCCAACATTGCTTTTTTTTCAAAATTTTACAATGGTGTCGACAATTTTATGACCTTGTTTCTATGGTTACACTGTGAGGTATCATTTAATTCAATCGAGCTTACATCATGTAGATAAAGACTGCATTCACAACGAGTTGAGCCAGGCTTTACAAATCCTGGGGACTAAATATGGTGGACGTTCATGAAAGAAAACCTCCTAATCTTTTAATAGTCTCTCCGCCTCTCACACTCCTCTCCATGCGTCGTCCCTGCGGGGGTACAGTCATTAAATTTCGGCTCCATTGGGACGACACATGGGGAGGCGTGTGAGAGGCGGAGAGACTATTAAAAGATTAGGTGTTTTTTCTTCCATGTACGTCCACCATATTTAGTCCCCAGGATTTGTAAAGCCTGGCTCAACTCTTGTGAATGCGATCTAAGAAATACAATAGACCTAATACATTTTATGTGAGCTTTAAAATGTTGATATCCTAAGCTTTCGTCTCTATGTTTATATATAGTAAAACATATATATATATATATATATATATATATATATATATATATATATATATATATATATATATAATTAGTTTAAAAACCAACTATACAGACGGAAGTTTTGTGGAAGAAACAAACAAATAACAACTCACATTTTCTATGTTAACTACGATAATTGCCATCAAACGCTCTCTGTGACAGCCTAGCTATAGTGGAAAACGAGCTACGACCGACTTACACCACCTAGCTGGCAGGTGTAAATTTACGACTAAGTTAAGACTGACGTAAACACTATTCCAGTTTGGTGCAACTGGCTTTTCTCGGGCATAGCATTTTGTGCCTGGTTTATGCCGGCGCAACTGCTACGCCTCACTTATGACCGGTTGGTGCAACCGGGCCCAGAAGAATATAAGGCATACAAATATTACAGTAAAGGAGGAAACCTTTCCATGTGGATGGGTTTCAGCCAAATGTTGATGTGAGAGATAACATGAAACTTAAGTCAACATTGGGCTTACACCAGAGACTATACCCGACCCAAGACTTTTCCTCACCTGGTGACTTGATCAGAGGGACAAACAGCACATCATCATCTGGCAACTGAAATACCTGTTCAGCCACACTCCTCCTCATTGGAACTGCTATAGTCTCATTAGTCCACTCTTGTAACACACTGTACTGGTCTGACCCCTGGTGGCAATAAGTCACAGTAACATTTCCATAGCATTTATTCATGACTTGGTCAATAAGAGATGCCAGTAGGCCTTTCATCTCTTTGTCTTCGTCATCTTCCAAGTGTATCAAGGGTGGCAGGTCATACCATATTGCACTCACTGTGATGTTGTCCTTCACATATTTTGCACAAGAGTTGTCATCATCATGGCTGTTCCTTCCATGCATTATTGGAATAGTAAGAATCAAAATGTGGCAAAACAAAACTGGGCTGATATCAAGCTTCATCATATAATACCCTTTGAGTTTTATCTTTTTTATGAGTGCATACAATCCTTTTTGTGAATTAAATAACTTCCTCTTGCAGTTTCACATGTGTTATTGAATTTTTAAAATACCATTAAAATGATATTTGTCCTATGTTGAAAGTGATATGTCCTTGCCTACTGAATGTGACTTATTTGTTGACTGGATTTTGTTGTATTCCATTTTTGGAAATGAAACATATTCCAGTATCCTAGGTTTGTTTTAACTCTTGCATATGACAATCTTTTCATCTAACTTTTCATGGGAAATTTAGTGGTGTAACTTCTACTTCAGCTGTAAGAGAATATGTCGGTACATATATATATATATATTTATGTTTTTTTGTCACTTAAAATTGAAATAGATTTTTAAATAGTTGTAACAAGGAGATTGTTTTTAACCAGTCCATGCCCCAGTTGATCAGATTGATGACTACAGTTTGGCTGCACAGTTTGATACTTGGTTAATACTTGTGCAGTTATCACAACCAAAACATCCCTTGGGTAACCCCTCTAAAACCTGTACTGTAGCTTACCTAAATGCCTATATTATATATACACTTCAAAATTTAAAAAAAAAAAAATCTGTTTAATTCATGACCACCTGGCAGTGAGAAATAAGAGTAAGATAACAGAAAAATGGGTGGGTCTTTATTCAATACCAAGCTTCCAAGAACAGAATACAATAGCGAAAATTCATTTAGTGGTCAAATGTTTCCATACACAACCAAATTTTTAATACATGTGATTTATCATTGAAAAACAAACAATAAGATTGGGAATTGGATCAAACAATATAATTCTGAAATCTACCATTCCTACTGTGCATTCAAAAGATTATTATAACTGTGATGGCTCAATAAGACTGGTGCAATCCATCAGTCAGGTAAATTGTTTTCAAAATGTGATTTTTTCTTTGGCTAACATTTACAACATTGTCGTTACACTTTCATTGTTTTTAAGAGACTCTCATAAATGTGGAAAAACAATTAAACCATAAATATGTGGTTTATGTAATAATTGCTGGAATATATCAAATTGGCAGAACAGTATGGATACACTATTGAAGTCTGATACTGCAAGATCATAACTAATATCTCAAGCTGCAAGGGTTTTATTAATAATAGTCAATATTACCCCTGCTCAAGGAGGCATGCTAGGCAATTAAGAAGCTGGTTACACTGAAAGCACTAATTTTAACATAATTAGCAAGTAGCACAGAAGAGTTAGATCGATCCAGCTAGTATGATGGGTTTATGGAAATTAATTAAGGCAGTCCTAGGTAAAAAGCTTATATCTGGCCAAAAATTACGATCTTGTAATTTGGATGTGTAACTATCATCATTTTATTTGGAAGCTATGTTTAGTTAGTAGAGCAAGGACTCTATAAGCTGTATTTATGATCCTGAAATTATATAAACACACACAGACACACACACACACACACACACACCAGGATCATTGACCTACAAGGTATAAATAAATGTGTTTCCACAGTGTGTATGTTTGCCCTCCCCCTTATACATTCTCTTTTGTGAAGATTTAAGCTGTATGTGTAGTTAAATCTAAACAAGCACACCAACTTAATATATGTAACTGTTTCCAGTTCACATCATGATCAGTTCACACATGAGTAAGTTAGTCACAGACTATAGTCTGCCGAATACTCACCTTGTTAGGGGTGTTTCTAAAACTCCTTCTCTATAATAATACAAGAATACACTTATCTCTATCTGCGGTCCCATTGGCTTTGTGGCTCTATCACTGTTATCATTGTGTATGCATACAAGTCCCTGTGCATCATGTGATTAAAGATGTCAAATGAAGTACACTGTATGTCTTTGCTGATTGGTAAATAATTTATGCTTCAGATTACTACCGGGAGAGTGAGTACAAGTCTTAGTTGGTCAAAGGAGCACTACATATCAGTTGCATATAAAGATTTATCAAGAACTGAGTTTGCTAGATTGATCTTGTTAGAACAATTTATGTAAAGTGATGGTTGTTGTTACTTATTAACCCATTCATGTTAGGTCTTATTATAACTGTAAAGTAAATTTTACAGACATTTTGGAGTTGTTGCTGGTTCATGGCTACTAAAATGTATACTAATGATTGCTTTCACGTCCAACCTTAGTGATGTATATTTGATGTATATTTAGGCTACTTGGCAATTGTAATAAAGAAAGTTACAGTGTAGTAATAACCATTGCAGATCCCCCAGTTGATATCTATGGCAATGCCTTGGTTCATTATGTATATACGGGCTTATTATTATCACTGGAAAGAAGTTTTGGTCTTGTTACTTCTAAATTTTTAGATTTCAAGGTATGTTGGTCAGTTGGATTGTTTGTTTGTTTGTTTGTCTGTTTGCACTCTACAGATCACAATTTTTATCATATATCACTTCTATTTTTTTCCCTGAACAGATATCCGAAAGAGCATGTGACTGAACTTTTTTGGAGTCAGTCTGAGTATTTTTTCCAGGAGAAATGGCTATATGTGCTAAAACCAAATACTCTTTCAAATTCAGGAAATGTTAAAGCTAGGGAACTCGTGTTTTGTGTTTTGTAGAGAAGTCAAGGACCACACTGGAGGTTGTGTTGTTTTTATGTATAGACACAGACGTCATCACTGTCGTCATCAGTATCATCACCTTCATTCAGTGTTATAATGATAAGTGAAAAATATTTGCCCTTTTGTTTTCAAACTTACAGAACTGATGAATATTCATAAAATGCTGCTTAATTGGAAAACAAGGTTAATACAGAGATAGTCCAAATCATTCAATCTATGTATAAACAATTGAAGTCAAGTATACAGATGAAAGATGGTATATCTGATTATTTTGATTGTACCATAGGCACCAAACAAGGCTGCATGTTAAGTCCATTTATGTTTTCTCTATTTCTAAATAAATTTGTATATATGTTAAGAAATGATGAAAACTGTAAAGGCTTTTTCGTAATTGAAGATGCACCTAACATCTCATATTTGCTCTTTGCAGATGATGCAGTAGAGATAAGTGACACGGTCGGTAGCTTGCAAAAGCTTATAGTAAAACTAGAAAATTTCTGCAAAAAATATGGCATGATGATCAACATAGATAAAACAAAAATTATCATATTTAGATGAGGTGGTTATTTAAATAAACATGAAAGATGATTCCTAAATAATGAGGTAGAAATTGTTAGCCACTATAAGTACCTAGGGCTGATATTATCAGCTTTTTTGCCCTGGAGCAAAGCTAAGAGTACCCTAGCACAGCAAGGAGAGAAAACCATGAATATTCTGATATACTTTATCAGAAAATTTGACGTGCCTTTGACTCAGTCGCTATATTTGTTTGATCATGTTGTTGTACCAACTCTGTGCTATGGAGCTGAAATTTGGGGCTTCGAGAAATGTGATCAAATAGAAATAGTTCAACATAAACTCTGCTAAAAATTATTGGGGCTGAGTTCAAGGACATCAAACGTCATGGTCCTCGGAGAACCTGGTAGATTACCATTGTATCCAGTTTACACTATACAATGTATTAAGTATTGGCTGAAATGGATTAGGATGGAACCAGAGAGGTACCCCAGAGCTTGCTATAATATGTTGTGTACACTAGATGAACATGGAAAGACTAACTGGGTGACTAAAGTGAAACAAATAATTAATATGTATGGTTTTGGTTATGCATGGATAGCACAAGATATGGGTGATATAAATACCTTTGTAAGCCAATTTTTACTAAGGCTGAAGGACTGCGCTAGACAAAATTGGGTTGAAAACATACAAAATAGTCCAAAACTTTGTGAAAACTATGCATTGTTTAAGAGTTTGTTAGAACCGATATTACCCCAACCGGTTTGCCGATATTACCCCAACCGGTTACCAGTGTATTCATATACCCTGCACGATTCGGAGAGGGGGTGGAGTTGCTTTTCTTTCACAGGACAGCTTCACAGTAACCCAACAGCCAAAAAGGATTGATCCATTGTCTTTTGAGTACATTGAGGTTTTAGTTACAGCTATATCAGTGACATTGCGTATCATTACAGTATACAGAATACCTCCATCTAAAACCAATAATTTGCGAAAAATGTTATTCCTCAGTGAGTTTTCTGATCTCCTTGAGTACCTAGCACCTCTTCGAGGGAAACTTCTTATCGTCGGCGACTTGAATATACACTGGGATGATCAACACATTTCTGAAACCAAGCAGTTTGCTTCATTAATTGATTCATTTGGACTTACACAGTACGTGTTAGATCCCACCCATGTTCGCGGTCATACGCTTGATATGGTATTGGCTAGGGAAAGTGATTCACTTGTAACATCATGTGAGGTAGGGCATTTACTTTCTGACCATCATGTTATCAACACCACGCTTAGATGTGGCAGACCGCACCCCAGTAAGGAGAAAGTCTCGTTCAGAAAAATCAAGGGCATTGATGTAAATGAATTACAAGGACAGATTACATCACAGCTGGGTGATTTAAGTTTTGATAATTTGAGTCCTGAGGAATGTGTGCTTCTGTATGACAGGACATTGACAACTGCACTTGACAACCTTGCACCTGTCAAAACTAAAACGTTTGTTAAGAAAGATCTGCAACCTTGGATGAATGATCACATTCTGGAGGCAAAGAGAGACAGAAGGAAAGCGGAGAGGAAGTGGCGAGGTAAGTGACGAGTAAATTAACTGTTCATCATCAGATCNTTCTGTTAAAAATTATTGGGGCTGAGTTCAAGGACATCAAACGTCATGGTCCTCGGAGAACCTGGTAGATTACCATTGTATCCAGTTTACACTATACAATGTATTAAGTATTGGCTGAAATCGATTAGGATGGAACCAGAGAGGTACCCCAGAGCTTGCTATAATATGTTGTGTACACTAGATGAACATGGAAAGACTAACTGGGTGACTAAAGTGAAACAAATAATTAATATGTATGGTTTTGGTTATGCATGGATAGCACAAGATATGGGTGATATAAATACCTTTGTAAGCCAATTTTTACTAAGGCTGAAGGACTGCGCTAGACAAAATTGGGTTGAAAACATACAAAATAGTCCAAAACTTTGTGAAAACTATGCATTGTTTAAGAGTTTGTTAGAACCCGAAAAATATTTATTTGATGTAAATATTAGGAAGTACAGAGTAGCATTTACAAAATTCAGAGCTTCAAATCAGAGACTTGCAATAGAAACTGGTAGACATGAAAATTTACAAAAAGTAGATAGGTTGTGTAAATATTGCTTAGAGAAATATATTTCCGAAATTGAAGATGAGAAGCATTTTTTTACTAGTTTGTTTACGTTATGAGGAATCGAGAGCTCAGTACATTCCTAATTTGAATACTAACAATACATCTTCAAATTGTTATATTTCTATGATGAAAACAAAAAATCCTGATGCTCTGAACAACCTTGCTAGATTTATTTATCATGGTTTGAATGCTAGAGAAAACTGATGCAAAATGTCGAACTGTAACTTTGTGATGTATTTGCTATGGGCCGGTGTCCTTTATCAATTGAATTGCTTAATTGGACCATTTTCCGTAAGTAATGCCCTTTTTTATTTTTTGTTTTTTTTTTTTGCTTTTTTTTCAGAATATTTTATCCACCATTATACAAATACAATGAAAACCGTTTGCCTTTTGTCTGCAAATTTACAAAACTGATGAATATTCATAAAATACAGGTCAAGTTTGATAATCAGTTTGATAGGACAATTTTTCCATAAATTATGCTTTTTTTGTTTCTTTCAGCATATTTAATCCAATAATACAAATAATGTGAAAACTGTTGAAATTTTAATTAAAACTTGCAGGACTAATTCATAGGACTAATGCATAGATCAGGTTTGAAATTATCTTGTTTATCTTGTTTAGTTTTGATGAAGTTATACTGTTTTTTAGTAAGTGGTTTTTCCACAGATTTATTTTAAGGAATGTTAATAGTCTCATTATTGAACTAATTACAAATGTAAAAGTGTTCTTTTGACATTTTCTGCATCTTAACAATTTTGTTAGTTGATTATATAAATTGATGGTAAATCTGTTATCATGCATTGTGTAATAAAGAGTCAAAAGTGGAAATAAATTCATATCAGTGCAGTTCGTCAACTTCAATCTTTCACTTTGTTCAAAATCACTATGTTCAATAGAACAAATTTAGCAAAATGGACAGTTATACTTGTTCTGTTGATATTTTTACCGTGTCAACAATTTTGTTAGTTGATCATTTAACAAGGCAGCAAAACTTGTGAAAGTACAGACAAAAAGCAGAAAATATAGATGCACAAAATAGGCTTCTGATGCAATAATACATTATACTTAACAGCAAAGTGAACACCAAATTTTAATTATGAACAACAGGTAATACAGATGTCAGTGAAATGTGTAACTAGCATAAGGCCCATGAGAGTTTAATTAAGTTCACACTTTGAAAATGCCAGAATGAGAAAAATGAAAGTTTCACACAAAACTACATAAATTATAAAGAACAAATGACAATCCAATCAAACTGGTTTTCCCATAGGAGCTGTATGTTAGTCCTAAGAATCATTCTTATAAGTCACATAAGTCATTTTCTTTTCATAAAGTTTGCCATGGCAGTGTACAAAGTAGTTTTTTTTTTGTCATTTTTGATGCAATATTACATTATAATTTTCAGCATAATCATCACCAATTTTTAATGATCTACTAAACATAGCATTGACATGTAGAAAATTTGATTACCATTTGGCTTCATACCCT